ATTTGAATGAGGAAAATGAATACTCTCTAAACTGACATTATTAACATTTTTTAAGAAATTATTAATGCAAATTGATATTAAGTAATGTAATCATAATTAAATAATTTTAATTTGATCATTTACAAATAGAGGGAACAATAATAAAAAAAGAATAATAAGGAGATGATTAATAAGAGAAATGATCTATAGGTAAATGCTTTGTATGAGTAAAGAAATAAGATATAGGAGCAAGAATTATAATTGCTGTAATAAAATCTTAAAAAGGCAATAGAAATTTTTGAAAACGTTAAATAAGACACTCTCTTAATTTAATGCGTTTCTTGATATAATATTATGCATTTATCAAAGAGTCAATGATGCAAGCGATGATTCTTTTAGTATTGAGATTTAATTAGAAAGAGGCAGACTCACAGATTTCCTAATTAGTTTTTAAGTTTCTTAGAGTTTTCTCTTTTTAATTATAATTTGGTTGTAAATAGTTTGCACATCAAATAAAAAGGAGGGGAAAACTTAGTCTGTAAAAAAGAAATGAATTGCAAGAGTTATTATTTCTTAAGCCATTGAACTTTTTCATTATAATTCTAATTAATTCTTATTAAAATTTATTATATTATTTAATGTATAAACGAAAATTGAATTCAAAATGAAAATTTTTGTCTTTCTTAAGGACATATACTATCAGTCATTATTATTGCCCTTGATCCTATATTATCAAGAGATTTTGAGACTCTTATGCATTGAACGTTTAAATAAAACAGAAGTGGATGCCAACATTAGTAGGATTAAATACAATATTTCATTAATTGAAGAAAATTAGGCAAATAAATGGAGAATGTAGAAAATATAATAAGAAACTTAATACAATTAATTGAACAATTACATGGTAAAGTTGATCAGATGAAATCATTTGTTATCCGATAATTTAGCTGATTGATTTTTATAATTATGGAATGGATTTAGAATCTTATATATTAAGGATTTGAATATTCTTAATATAATATTTATAAAGAATTAAAAATAGTTAAAACCAAATCAATAAATTTTTTTTATAAAGTGAAATCAAATTAAGTTAATTGATCAATCTATAAAATAATAAAATAATGCTAGTTATAAAAGTAAAATGCAAGTAGAAAAATATTCAATTAATGTAAATTAACTAAATTGGAGATATTGAAAAAAAGTTTTATGTTATTCTTAAGGGGAGAATAATTGTAAGTTGTGATGATTATTAATTATTATAAAATATATGAAAGGAACATAAACGAATGGGTGAATTATCAATAATGTCTAATAAACATTAATTTATTTAACTCATTATTTCTTTTCCACTCTAATTGCATCTTAATACAAAAATATTTTATGTAAAATAATATTTAAAGAATCAATAATTTAGAGTTGAATAATAAAATTTAATATTAATTTTCTTTATTTGAATATATTAAACTTAAGTGATAAAGTGAGCTTATCTGATGCACTTAATAACTAATGCAAGTATATTTTGATGTTATTGTAATTAAAAGAAAATTAAATGATAGACAATTATGTTTAATAAGCTCAAAATTAATATTTTATAATTAAGAGCCTATTTCTTAAATGCATATAGTATCTGTTTTCAACATGCTATTTGATTTTCTAGGAAAAAAGTCGCAATTATAACAAATTTAGGTTCTAATTCCTAAAAAATTATGAATGCCTTCAAATCTTCTTTAATTCATTGATTTTATGAGACTTTTTGTATTTTGTGTATTTTAAAATAGACTATTCTTTCTTTGTCTTGATAAATGATTATGAAGATCTTATTGTTAGAGAGTATTCTTCATATAGCCAATCCCAAAAAGTATATATTTTTTACCCTACATAAATAAATTATAACTATGAATTAATCAAAATTCATTTTCAACCTATATTGCACCATTTATAGGATTCATAATTTTTAGATCAATCTGAAATGAGTCTAGTGTTAAAAAGCTAAAATGTATGAAACTGAAAACTGTGAATGTTAAGATCAAATATATATTTATAATTTATAAAAATTAATCATCTTTTATGAAACTAAATAAATATCATTAAGGCAATATTTAATAATACTATATAAATAAATTTAATCAAAAGATGGCATACGAATGACATATTCTATTCTTTTTATCTGTATTTTTTGAAAGAATCTATTGGAAAATTTTCATGTTCATTAAATTGTTGGAAATCAAAAACTGAATTTAATTTATTTCATATGATAACCTCTAAGCACAAGAACCAGAGCACTAATCAGGTTTAGAGTAAGCTTTCATAATTCAAAAAAGACTATATGCTATAAAAATTGTTTTTCGTCTATTAGGGCTTACAGAAGCATTTAGTTAATCTTCCGGTCCGATTGATCTAATTACTATTCAATATCTCTTATTTTATGCATAATATTCTTTTTTTTTCTTCTTTTAATTATTTGCGTTCTACAAATTCCTTTTTTATTAATTTAATTAATTCTTGCAGTGTTTGGATGGTTAGATTTCACTTCTCTTTCTTTTTTATATTGAAGTTACACAGATTTTACTGATAATAATTTATTTGGTTTTATAGTTTTTTTAAAAAGCATGATTTCTACAATTACAGATATCTAAAACGCTTTAATTATTAAAAAGGATTTTTATATATGTTGAAACAATATCAATTACTAAATTACTAACTAAACTTTACAATTGCATTTCTTTAGTTGATTTTTAAATTATCAAAATAACTATAACAATAATTTTAATATGAAAAAGTGAGAAAAGTAATTTTTAAAAGATATTTCTAGATTACAATTCTTAATAGATATTTGAACATTTTATTTAATTTTAACCTATATATTGAGTCCTCTTTATATGATTATGCTGTTATTATATTTAAAATCTGAAATAAGTATTTAGTATTATAAATTATAAAAATTCAAAATAGATCTGTAATAGCTAGTAAAAATAATATTATTTACAATTTATTTGATATGTATTAAATTAAATAAAATTATTAAAAGTATATAAATCCAAAGTATTTAACTTGAAAACTATATAAACTTGCTTCCAATGTTCGAATTATATTTGATAGATTTGATAGAGGAATAAACTGATAATACCACATTTAATTGATTCCAACTTTTTGCTCGAGGTATAGAATAATAAATCTATCAGCATAAAGCAATCAAATTATAAATAAACATCAAAATGAATTCATTTGAACTTATTTTGATTAATTAGAGGCTAAATGAATTGGGAAAAGCTGATAATAAGAATATTTTAAAATGTGATCAATATAATTTTAAATTGATATTTCTAACAATGATAATTGGTTATATTCACATTCTGCTGTAGCAGATCTTGCGATTTAATTTGATCATCAAAATTAAATAGATTATAAAAGAAGTTATAATATCAAGAGCAAATTGAATAATACCAATTTCGGTTTTTTGAAATTTTCTGTATTCAAGACAAACCAAGATATAAAGCTAAAACTAAATTAATCTTACCCATCTTTCTAAAAATTTCCCATTAAAATAGATTCAGATTTGATCACAAGTGATTTAGATTGCTTCAAGTAAAATAATATTATCCTAATCATAGTATTGAACCAATTAAAAGCCTTAATCAGATGGTTTTGGTATCAACTATCCTTTTTTCTTTATTGAAATATTTTAGCTAGAGAACTCGATTTGAGTTTATCCATTTATAAGAAAGGACAACAAATTTTTATATTAGAAGGACATAAAAGAATTGTCCAATATATATGCTTCTATCCTGATGGCATTAAATTAACATCTTATTGTATGGAAAGCCCTTTAGGGGATGGATGTTAATACTAGAGAAGTAGATTGAATAGATGTACTATTATTTCCATATAATTTAGATTATTGTTGTCTCTGATATTACTATTATTATAGCAGTTTGTAATTAAAAAAAGGTGAAGATTATGATTATATTTTAACCCTCACAGAATAATATCTATTCTTATGAAATTTCAAACACCTTTAAAAAAATACCTTTTTAATTCTTGAAAATCATAGTATCGATGTTAATTGTATTTAGTTTCATTTCTGTGTTCATTTTTATTAATTTTATAAAACGTATGCTGTTAATCTATTTTTTTTGCAGCAACATCAACTAATTTTTTTAAGTGTTTAAGAACATTAAGAGACAGTTAGAGAACCGAAAGAACGATAAAAATCAATGAATTCTTTATTATACCATGGTTTCAAGGTCACATTGTTTCATTTTTATTTTATAGCAATGATTTAGAATAAAAGATTGATTATCATATATGGGACAATATTTAAAGAATTTTTAATATGCAGGCATCTGAGTAGAGTTTTTAATAGACTAATAATGAGCAATTTCCAATAATTTACATGTGCTATTACATCATAAAATTCATTTTATTCGGTGACATACAGATGCAAGGTTTATCTCAATTCAAAAGAATATCTTCTATGAGATTCATTAAAACATTAGAACTCATTGGTATTTTAGTGGAAATTTATATATGGATAAAAGTTACTAGCTATTTTATAACCATAAACATAACAAAAGACAAACATTATTTCTTATTACAATTTTAGTGATATTATAATTGTAATGATTTTTTTTCTATAATTGAATTTAAAATAATTAAATAAATTGATTATAAATA